ATTCTCTAAAAATAATCCCTGGTGTGTCCCTTGGAAAGTCTGGGAGACCACCACCCTGGGGGTAATGCAGCCTAGCGGCCTGAAGAGGGCAGTGTTGGATAAGCTGTGGGGCTCCATCTCCCGCTCTGCCTCAGGGTAGCAAGAGAGAAAGGGCGATTCACCCTGGATGCAGTGGAGTCTGGGGCCAGGCAGCCCAGGACGTCCTCTCTGGTGTTTGTGTTTGCACAGTGAATTATTCATAGGAAACCGGCTCCAAGGAGAATGGAGGCCAGAGACTCCCCATCCTGTACCTAGAATCAGGGCCTGGGACTGTCAACAGACAAAAACCTCATTCTTTCTCCCCTTCGAGAACTGAGTTTGGGAAAGAAATTGAGGAGTGAAGTCATGGGTCTGAAGCAACTGTGAGTTTTTGTTTTTCCTCTTATGAAAGGAAAACAACAGTGAAATCTCAATAATTTATAGCTTCAGGAGACAGCGGAAAGCTCCTGCTCTGGAGTCAACAGATGCTCTCTCTGCTCTGTAAGCCCACCTTTCCCAGCCTCTGCTCTCTGGCTGTCACATGGGAACAAGATTACCTTCCTCACATGGCTGTTGGGAGAATAATGAGACAATGCAGGCAAAGCGCTCCGCTTGTGAATGGCTCTTAGCAAGAGCTCAATAAATACCAGTGATGATGGTGAAGATGATGATACTGAATTGTCATTTTGTCAGGCGTGAGTGTTTCAAAATTTGCCATTCACATCTGAAGAGGAAGAATCAGAGGTGACAAATCAAGCTATTTAAATTTTACAAACCTAGGAGTTAGAAGCAGAAGCAGCCAGGGGAGGAAGGCAGAATCAGTGTGATTCCACGTTAGAGCCTGGCTCCTCAACATTGCTCACGGTGCCTTCCAGGACTGGGGGGTCCCAGCCTAGTGTTAGTAAGATGGTCTCTGTGTCTAAAGTAGTGTGTATGTGACGGCCATACGTATGTCGAGATATGACATGACCACCAGCCTCAGACATAAAAGCAATGACTCTTCTCATTACATTTATCTTCTGTGAAACCTCAAAGGGTGGGGATGAACTGATTGAAAAAGAATTGGTAATTTGGATAAATTGCTGGGATACACTAAAAGTAAGGCTTGGAGCAAGACCCCCACCCTCTGCCTTACATGGGAAAGGTGACAGGGACCAGTTCAGAGAGAGGCATGGAGACAGCTTGGATGAGAGAACTGCCCTTTCACCTGGCAGCTCTCCAGCCCGCAAATAGCTTTTGTGTCCAGTCCAAAAATAAGATCACATGAAAGGGGGAGAAAGAAATATGCAAGTGCTTGTCCTTGGGCTTTCTGTGGGTACCAGCATCAGCCACACTGGGAGGGCCCCAAGAGGGTGGCCTCACGACACACTCCACTGCCTCCCCCCAGGCTCCCCAAGGCTGGAAGGACAACCTGTATCAGGGCGGGTGTGGTGTGTGGTTTGCACTCAGCCCTTCTCTTGGGGCTCCCTTGAGCTCCATTCACACCAGAGAGAGAGCAGGAGAGAGAGGACAAGCAGATCCAACAGCCTCGACTCCAGGGGAATAAGGGCATTGCCTCCTTTTGTGGAAGGACACGCCCTTCTGATGGAGAATGGGAACTCCCTCCTGCAGCAGCCTGCCTGCAGCGGTCTGGGTAGGACAGCGTGGATGCTGTAGGCTGATGCAGCTGCCGTCGCCCCAGAAAGACAGTGCCCCACAGCCGAAGCAGAGAGGTGAGTGCATCGGTTTCTCCAGGGGTTTCGGATTTCTATGGACTTTCTGCTTGGCTTCGTGCTTGCGCTCAGCATGAATGCTCTCCCCCACCCCCGTTCTTCCTCTTCTCCTCCCTGATCAGGCTCTGTGGCAGGCTTGAGTCTATGTGATGGATGCTAGCTTAAAACATTCCTGTACTCCCTTCTCTCTTTCGGAGGCCTGTTTGCTCCCAGAAAGAACTGGGTAGGTCTAGCTCTTAGCAGGGAAGCAGGAAGTGTCTCCTACCAAGTGAATTATCTTTGCTGAGCTCCAAGAGGACGTTTCCCAGGAAATCATCAGACAAATCCCATTACAGTAGAGTTAATGCTTAGTTTTAAAATGCCCTGCATGAAATAGGGAATAAATTAAAGGATGCTAGCTGATTCTTCGTTATTGGGCAAAAGGAAAACAACAAAAATGGGATATGCAAGGTTTCCCCTCTCCACAGCCTCTTCTCTCTCTCTTCCTGGCTTCTTAGAGCCCTACAAAATATACTTAACAGGTCCAAGAACTCCTTTCTTTGGTTGACAACAAGAGAAGTAAAATAAAGGGTTTGGGGGAGAATTGCTCTGTAAACTGAGGCAAAGGACGAAGAAGAGAGAAAAATTTTGCAGAGTCTTGGTTTCCCTTCTGATGTCTCTGCACTCCCAAGCACGCACACGACATGTACCTGGGCCTATTTAGGAGGATGTATAGATGTCTCCATTGCTTGCACATGTGTACCATTGCTCCTTGACACACATTGCCCCTTAGCTAGGACTACAAATATCTATGCTAAGAAGAAGCCAGCAAGATTCTGGTGGGAACAAGATAACTACTTGAATAAAGTCAGGATTCTTTTAGTGACAATGGATTGAAACTCAGTTTGACTAGACTTAGGCAAAAAAAGGCCAGGGCTTTAGTATGGTGGGTTCCAGGTGCTCAGACAATGGCATCCTGACTCTGTCTCTATTTGTTGACTTTGCATCCCCGTATCATTCTATTCCCATCACCTGTCTTGGTGGCAAGATGGCTGCCAGCAGCCCCAGGCTGACATCTTCCTGGCACAGCCACCCTACAAGAACAGCCACTTCCCTTTCTCAGCTGTTGTAGCTTGAGTTTCAGGGTCCCACTGAACCAATATGGGTGTTGTGCCCATCCCTCTGTAGGAGTGTAGCCATCCCCATGCAAAACCATATGAACTGAAAGCAAGGAAGGGCTGGGTCCCCAAAGACAATTAAGGTGCTAGTCCTAGGAGAAGGGGCTGGATGCAGGATGGCTAAGGTCAAGGTTGCCACTCTGTGTTGCTCTTTTTGCAATGGTCTAGATTAAGAGTCAAAGTGCCTCCAACATAGCTCCTCCTCCTTTTCCCTCTTAAAGCCCACAAAAATTTATTAGTGACAGCAAGTCTCATAGGCAGGGTAATTGTTAGTAGAAGAGGTGACTAAAAGACCCCATGGAATGTCATCCCTAGAGACTACTGATAGTGGGAAAGACCCCAGAAATCTCCTCTCTGGCTCCGTCCCCAGGCCACCCACCATACCCAGACCCACTGGGCCCTCAACATGCCTGTGCTCGCACAGGTCCCTCCCCTCCTCCTCCACCTTCGCCCAGTTGTGTCTCCCTCTGCTCTGTGATGTGAACCCATCCTGCCTTTCAAGAGCCAGCTTCGGTGCTGCCTCCCCTCTGAGGCCTTATCTGGCCTGTCGAGTCTTTTCTGTTGACTCCCTTGCTGAACCTGATCAGCATGGACTCTCAGTATTACAGTTCACTGTTTACATGTTCTTTAAGAACGTCCCGTATCTTAGTTTCTCTCCCTACTTGAATTTTATATTTCTAGGGGGAAAATCAGGTTTTTTCCCCCAGCCCTCTCTGTGGTGTCTAACACATAGTAGGTGCCCAATTAAGTGCTTCCAATTAATTGAGCAATAGAAAACTAGCCTGCCTAAATAGCTTCGAGATGATGGCTAGATGACTTGAGGTCCTTAATTCTGATTTAAAAAGTAATTTAATAACTATAGCAAACACTGATTGATCTCTGAATGTATCTGGAGTCCCTACATGCATTGTCTCAGATCATCCTCACAACGACCCTACAAGGCAAATACTGCTTTTATCCCCATTTCATAGACGGAGAAACTGAGTCTTAGAAAACTTAGACACTTGTCCTAGATCATACAACTAGTAAGTGCTGACATGAGAGTGAGAACCCAGGCATGCCTGCCTTCTCCTTCCCTACTAAATTAATTATTTCCATGCTTATCAGGGGAGCTTCCTCCAGCCTGATTTTAAAGAGCAAGAAGCATGGGTGATTGGTCGCAGAGCACAAGGAATCAGATATTTTAGACCCCTCTTCTGCCACCTGGGCTCCCAGAGCCTCTATGGGGGGTCCTTATTAGATTGTACCCAGGGATGAGGGGTCACACACCAATCCCAGAGCCAACAAGAAGGTCAGGGGCACAGGGATTTCACAAAAGGAGGTGCCTCTGGGCTCTGTAGAGAGCAAGGTGCCTTTGATTGAATGCGGGTAGAGTGGTCTTCGGGTAATCATTAGCTGGGGAGTGGGCCTCAGAATTCAAGCTTGCTCCTCTGGCTGCCTGTCGTTAGGCATGGCCCTGACATTTCTCCCGCTCCAGGGCGACAAGGCAGAGGGCTTCCTCAGAGAGTGGCTTTCAGGATTTGGAGAGCAAAGGAAACCAAAATCTAGAGAAAATGGGGTGTATTTTTTATATCTGTGCCTCAACATCCAGCCACTGGCCTCTTGGCTGACGCAGTCACGTGGTGACGATGAAGGTCCCAGGGATCTTGTTTCTCTGATGTACACTATCTTATCATATGGGTTAGCATCTTCTCAAGAGCAGATCCTGTTTGATTTATGTCATTAATCCTCACAATATCCCGTGAGAGGTCAGAGAGCTGGTGTTCTCACAACCGAGGCACAGAGAGATTGAATCACGTCCCAGATTACATAGATGCAGAGAAAGGCCCGGACTGGGGCTAGAAGAGCTCAGAGTTCTTCAGAATCCAAGCCTGCTTGCTTCTCCATGAGGTTATGATAGAAAAGAATTAAAACCCAAAGAATTATATAGGCTAAGTAAAATTCTTTGGGTAAATCGTTAAGAGAAAAACCACTGCTGGACCCAAGAGAAATGAAAACGTATATTCACACAAGAACTGTACACAGAGATTCATAGCAGCATTATTCACAGTAGCCAGAGGAAACAAGCCAGATGTCCATTAACTGATGAATGGATCAATGACATGTGGCATATCCATACAATGAAATAGTATTCAGCGATAAAAAGGAATGAAGTTCTGATACATGCTACAACATGGATGAACCTCAAAGACATTATGTTTTTTAAGGGAAGGAAGCCCAGAGTGTATGATTCCATTTATATGAGATGACCAGAATGGGCAATTCCATAGAGACAGAAGGTAGAGGAGTGGTTGCCTAGCCCTGGTGGGAGTGGGGAATGGGAAGTGATTGCTAATGTGTATGGGGTTTCTTTTGGGGATGACAAAAATGTTCTAAAACTAGATAATGGTGATGGTTGCACAACCATGTGAATATACTAACATCACTTAATTGTATACTTTGAATGGGTGAACTGTATGGTATGTGAATTTTATCTCAATAAAGTTGTTTAAAAACCCAAACCATGGCTAATGAAATAATGAACCCAGCGACAGGGCTTCACTGAAGGATGTGGTCTCTCCCTGTCCACTCTGATTAGCTCAGGTCTTGTCCCCACGGAGCCTGGCCACAGGCCACCCAGACAATTCAAGTGGAAAGACTATAGATGGAAAGACAGAGTACCTAGATGTCTCCCCAGAGTCTGAACTAGGACGATTTTCCCCGCTCTTTCCTATAGAGATGATTTTAAATTTTATGGACTCAATCTCGCTATTCTATGTTCGTTTCTGGGTTTCAAATCATGTTTCAAAAAGCGTTCTCCCTTCTAAGATTATAAATCTTGGTAATTAGTGTTTTCCTCTAAAGTTTGTCTTCTTACATTTAAATCTCTGATTCCTCAAGAATTTAAATAACAAACTGGGGATCCTGGTTGTTTTTGTCCCTCTTGCCAAATAGATAGATAGTTATTAAATGAGGGGTTTTAAATTTGGGGTTAGAATGGACTTGGGATATCTCGTAACTTCCTGAAATTAAATGCAAAAAAAATGTGTGAGGGTATGTGTGTATGTTTATTTTTCTGGGGAACAGGGTTTAGATCTTGTCAGATTCTCAAGGGGTTTTGTGACTCACAGAAAAACCACTGGGCTCTCTACATTGCGTAAGCTGGCGTCCAGGTAGCTTAGTTGTGTACATTCCAATGCAGCGAGGCCAAATCCGAGCCAACAGGAAGTTATAAACAATCACAGTGGAGGCCTGAGTGGTTCCTCCTTGGGAACATTTTCTGCCACATGTCAAGTGAGAGTTGCACCACCCTTTGCTTTGACATTTTGCTGAGGCAGAGAACAAGAAGTGACTCTCACTGGCTCCCCTTGGCCCTAGAAAACTTTAGGTTTTTAATTATCTGCTGACAAATCAGTGGAACTAATAAACCATTTTAGCTGAAAAAAATGTGGTGCCCTCCTGTCACAAAGAATTTGAGGAGGCTTACAGGCCAATAAATATAAATAAATGATAAAGTGGAAATAAAACTGCCAATACAAAGAAGGTGGCAGATGCTTAGGTGCAGACTCATGCGTTCATGTAATAAATATATTTGCACTACCCACTGTGCGCAGGCGTCGTCTAGACTGGTGGTTCTCCAAGGTGGTCCCCGGACCAGCAGCATCAGCATCACCTGGGAACTTGTCAGACATGCAAATTCCCACGTCCATCCCCAGACCTGCTGAATTAGAAGCTCTGGAGTTGGGGCCCGGCAATCTGTGTTTTAACAAACCCTCCAGGTGATTCTAATGCACATTCAAGTTTGAGAACCACTGGTCTAGGTATGGGGAATACAATGGTGAAAGGACAGATAAAACCCCTGCTCTCCCCGTGGAGTTTACATTCCAGTGTGTGGTATGGGGACACAGAAAACACAAAAAACTGAATATGATAATTTTCAGATAGTAGTAAGAGCTATGAATAAAAAGAAAGCAGAGGATGTGAAGGACAGTGATGAGGGGCTGATGAGAACAGGTGGTGAGGGAGGAGGTGTCTGCAATGAGACCAGAATAAGAAAGCCAGCCACGCAAAGAATTGAGGGGCAGAAAATAAATGCGTACACTTCAGGCAGAGGGAACAGCAAGTGCAAAGGCCCTGAAGTGGGACCATGCTTGGCCCACGTGAGGAGAAGTGTGTCTGGAGGAGTGCAGAGGGATGAACACTGGACAGTTGGAACAAATAGGGACATGATCTGATTTATGTTTTAGCAGGATCCCTCTGGAATGAACTGTAGGGGTAAGGGTAGAAGCAGGAAAGTCAGCTCGGAGGCTATTGCACTAATCCAGGCAGGGAATATTGGTGCTTGGATGGACTGGAACAATGTGCAAAGACCTATTATTAAGTGAAAAACAAACCGACAATGTGGGACACTGCACATAGGAAATTGCTCTTAAGTATACACACATTCAGGTATATAAAGACTTTTTTTTTTCCTGAAAGGATCCAGAAAAAAAAGTTGAGTGAGTATCTTTGACTAACTTGAAAAGATATTTGCACCCCTATGTTCATAGCAGCATTGTTTACAACAGCCAAGACATGGAGACAGCCTAAGTGTTCATCAGTGGATGAAAGAGTAAAGAATGAATGCATAAAAGGAAAATCTGGTGTATAAATATATGATGGAATATTCTTTGGCCATAGAGGGAGTGAAGTCTTGCCATTTGCTGGGGCACCAGTGGACCTTGAGAGCCTTGTGCTGCGTAGAATGGCTCGGACAGAGGGAGATGGATGCCGTAAGATCTCTCTTATATGTGAAATCTAAAAAACAAACAAACAACATGCTGAGCTCATAGATATAGAGACAGATTGGTGATTGCCTGAGGTGGGGGGTGGGGTGTGAGTGAAGTGAGTGAAGCGAGTCAAAAGGTACAAATTTCCAGTTATAAAATGAATAAACCACGTGGGTGTAATGTATAGCATGGTGACTATAGTTAATAATACCGTAGCGCATGTTTGAAAGTAGATGGGAGAGTGGATCTTGAAATTTCTTATTACAAGAAAAAAAAATTGTAACTAGGTATGGTGATGGGTGTTAACTGGACTTATTGTGGTGATCATTTTGCAATATATACAAATATTGAATCATTACATTATACACCTGAAACAAATATAGTGTTATGTCAATTATACCTCAATTTAAAAAAAAAGTGGTTGTCTTTGGGGAGAAGGAGGTTAGTGAGGGTCATTTTATACTGTTCTGTATATTGTGCATTTTTAATTTTTTTTTGTGTGAGGAAGATTGGCCCTGAGCTAACACTGTTGCCAATCTTCCTTTTTTTGCTTGAGGAAGACCGTTGCTGAGCTAACATCTGTGCCAGTCTTTCTCCGTTTTATGTGGGATGCCACCACAGCATGGCCTGACAAGCAGTGCTAGGTCCATGCCTGGGATCTGAACCTGAGAACCCCAGGCCACTGAAGTGGAGCATGTGAACTTATCAACTATGCTATGGGCTGGCTGCTGCATTTTAAAATTTTTGTTTACTTATTTTTTGCTGAGGAAGACTGGCCCTGAGCTAACATCTGTTCCAATCCTCTTCCATTTTATGTGGGATGCCACCACAGCATGGCTGATGGATGGAGTAAGTCGGCCCTGGGATCCAAACATGTGAACCCTGGGCTGTCAAAGTGGAGTGCATGGGACTTTAACCACTCGACCACGGTGTTTGCCCTAAATTGTGCATTTTTATCATATGCATGAAGCATTACTTTTATTTAAAGATAAAATATTTTATTTTATTGTTTATTTATTAAAAATTTTTTATTGTGGTAACCTCGGTTTATAACATTCTATAAATTTCGGATGTACATTATTATATTTTGATTTCTGTGTAGATTACAACCTTTTCACCACCCAAAGACTAATTACAATCCATCACCACACACATGTGCCTAATCACCCTTTTCACCCTCCTGCCTCCCCCTTCCCCTGTGGTAATCACCAATCCAATCTCTGTCTCTATGTGTTTGTTTGTTGTGCATTTTATCATGTGCATGAAGCATTACTTTTATATAGAGATAAAATATTTTAAAATAAAAATCGAGATCGAGGAAAATATAAAATAGAATAGGCAATGGGTGATCGATATCAGAGAGAGGAAGCCCACCTCTCATGGGCATAACCCTTTCCAAGCATCCTCCCTGGAAGCTGCTAGAGAGCCAGGCTGACATATTGAGGTGAGCTCCTGTTCTTGCATTACAGTGGGATCAGGGCGAGGCACCTTCCCACTTGAGAACCACTGGACCCCCTTTCTGTCCTGCAGCTCTGGTGATGTTTGTGGCTGTCGAGTCTCCTTGGGCAACTAATACAATTTCCTGTGAATGTCTGCCTCATTTCCCTGTGTCCTGTTTGTCAGCTGGCTCCCCTCCATCATCTTGGCAGCTGGTTCACCATGAGGCCAGCGTGCTCTTCGTTTAATTGCATGATTGGGCATAAACAGAAGGAAACACTTTGCTGGGGGGAGCGAGTGGCATGCAGCATCTGATTTTTCCTGTCAGCTGATTAGGATTTGTTGTGTCCGAACAAGGTCAAATGAGATTAGAAAGAAAATGCAGTGTGTCTGGTGTGTGTTTCACCTATCATTTATGTAAACAGGATGAACGAAGGGGAAATTTTAAAGCAAACATTGAATGTCAGCCTCAAGATTCAAGGACAAGAAGCCCAGGCTTTATATGTTATGCCTGGAGAGGAAGAAAATTTATTTATTGGGAGCATTTTGAATCCTGCGGATTCTATCATGCACTGATTCTTTCAAGTTGGTGCAGTTAAATAGTGATAGTTTTATGTCTGATTTTCAGAGTACCGAGAACAGAATAAGTAAAACCACAGAAACAACGCATTCTACCTTTATCGGCCTTCTGAAGCTCTTACACGAGGTTTAGAGCCACTTCCTGTAATAGTAACCGCTGAAGTGCTCGGTGGTGAGTCAATCTCTTAGGTCGGGGAAGGAAAATCTCACCTCCGGCACCAGCCACAACATTTTAGATGAGGATGCCTCTGGCCAAGGCCACACCTCTGTGAATGAATCTACCAGGCATCTACTAGGAATTTTCTTGGTCCTCCAAATCTGTCATTTTCTTCCTTTTTCGGACCCACCCCTCTGCAGTGCTAGTAGCCTTGCATATAGGATTTTAATCACTGCAGAAATGGCTTTAAATGTGGTCTAAGTGCTTGGAGGGAAGATAGGGTCTCTGTTACATACACTGTATGGGATCTAGTGTATTGTGGATGCTTAATAAGCAGCTTCAACAGCTATTATTTTCATGGACTATTTCCTGGCCCCGAGCTGGAGGGCTATTCTGAGGCCAGACTTTTAGACTCGGTGACCTCCAGGGCCTTCCCACGCTAAATAACAGTGGGGCCCCAAACATTAACATTATCGAGTCTTGTGGCTCAAAAAAACCTGAATGTATATTATTTAAAAGATAAATCTAGAGACTTGACATGGAAATTGAAATAAATATGGATGTTAAAGTGCAATTTTAAAAAGTTTCAGCACTAAGGGGAATTACATTACCGTAAATACTTTAGGGAACCGAGGATTAATGATTTCCCAGTATTTGGGCAGTAACATTTCCAAACACTCAATGTGTAGTAGAGTAATTAGTTTATATCAGTAGCTAGGGGTTGTAATTTGCCTAAAAGCTGTGTGGGTTTGTTTTGTTTTTAACAGCATTTCACGACTGGGTGTAATGGGGAGAAGTGAAACTAAAATACTGACTTACACTCGCATTGCCAGTTTTCAAGGTGCTTTCACCCACTTTGACACGTTTGAGTGTCGTGATGATCTTGTCGGCTTGCAGGGAAGGTGCTGTAGGAGACTGTCATTAATCTCGTCTCGAGAGAGGGCCCTGGGAGCCCCGCAGAGCTGAGTTGCCAGGAATGGTCAACCACACAGTGTGGGCAGGTTCAAGGGTGTTAACCTGAGGTAGGGAGACCTGGTTTTAGTCACAGTGAACACTTTAGGGGTGCAGCCTGGGTGAGACACTCAGCTGCATCTCTATCCTCAGGATTTTTAGGGTGTTTCCCAACTTGAAAATCTCTCATTCCATGTGGTTAAGAAGAGTTAACATGCATACTGTAGATAGCGTAACAATTCTCCAATATTTAGAAGATGATTGTCTAAAATATTTTTATCTTTCTATGATTCAGAAGGCCCTCTGGAATCATTCAGATACTCAGGAAGATTATTATTTTTAAAGGCAATTGGTCAGTACCTTTGGATATGTGGAAGTGGCAGGTCATGGAGGTTCTGGTTAATAAAGTTTGGGAAATCCACTGTTTCTGTATTTTTCAAGTCCCTTTTAGGGGAGCGCTGCTCGTCAATGATCAGAGCGATGTGATGCTTGAGGCTCTAGGTCCCTGTGACAGGGCACCCGCTTCTCAGAGGCTCCTCCTTTCAGAGGCACCTAAGTGACTCCCTGGGTGCTCTATGACCAATCTGGGGAACAGGTTTCCACCTCCACCTTCCCAGAGGAGAGAGAGACCAGCAAGTGTATTTCTAGTTCCCAGAGGTCGATCTGTACATCTCTACCTGAATCATCAGGTGGGCAGGCTTGCACACACAGACACACACGCATGCTCACACCTCCCAGGTTCAAATGCCTGCATAATGAGGAGGGACTCTTCATCAATGATAGGAAACTAGCAATCGTGTTTCCATCTGGCTTCTTCAAAGACATCTCCTGATTGTATCCTTTCAGTCTATCTTCATTCCCCACCTTATAGCCAAAGAGTTATTTGTACATGCAGCTTCCTTCCTTCCTTGCTACATCCTCGACAGTGGCATAAAGATGATGCCCATGGTCCGCTGAAGAAATCCCCACCTCTGAAGCTGGGCTCACCTGAGGGTTCATTCTCCTGGTTCAGCAGGAACAGTCTTGCCCACTGGTGAGGAATGACAGAAATATTCTCTTTGCAGCCCCTCCTGGCCTTAACCTGGATAGCCATGGCCTTGAGTAGCTTTGCAAAATGCCCTGGGCAAGGCTTGGCTCTGGGAATGGCACAGACAGACAGACAGACACGCACACACTCTGCCACACATAGACACCTACACCCTACGCAGGGATGCCAAATGACAGAACAGAAAAGGACTCCCTTTCATCCAGCAGCTTTCTGATTCCAGAGGAGCGTCTCTGAGCCACGACCTGCCGTTGCCCTGGTGACTGAGGCCTCAAAGTAAACAGGATTCTGCTCAGACGGGCCAGTAGTCCATTCGGCTTAGCCATTTGCCCCAAGACAAACCACCCTAAAATAACACCCAGGATAGTTGCTGCCGCTGTCTGCTGTCTCTGCCTCCCTTCCCCACTGGCCAATAGCTCTAGGCCTGCTGCTGGCTGTCCAAAGTCAGGGGCATTTAGAGCTCTCTGTACATCCTGGTGGGTGGGGTCAGTGTGGGTGATTGTCTAAAGGCAGGTCCCCTCTGCTGATAAACAAGGCCACAGAGAGACCTAGAGGCTGACATTCTCAGCCCTAGCCTGCCTCCCTGCTTCCAACATAGCCTGCGGGACTGGTAGCCGGGGCTGTGGCATGGCGTCTGGAGGCGGACCAGCAACCTGATGTGCATGCCACGGCCCGTCCCCTCTCCCCACACAGAGCTGCAGTAACCGAGAGGTTCAGAGAGCTGGCTTGGGGCTGCTCGGGAAGCAGCCGCAGCACAGTGACAGTGACAAACACAGAGCAGACGACACCAAGTGGATTCCCTTTCCCCTTGGACAGAGAGGCACAGCCCTCAGCCTGCAAGCATTTCAGGTAAGAATCAGAATATCTGTTCTGGGGAACAGAGAGAGAGCAGGTTACATTCAGAGCTGAGGGGGGGTGTGTGTGTGTGTATGTGTGTGTGTTTGTCTCAGTGTAAGTATATGGCTGCTTGGAGAGGAAAGAAAATTGGGAAAAGTTAAGGCAGTAAGACATTTGAGCAGATACCACTGGAGGCAGCTTTCCTGCAAGTGAACACCCTGATGCTTACCTCTGCTGGGTTCAAAGCAAGCTGTAGACTGCTCTGGGAGCAGGGCTGGCTGATGGCACAGGCACGTAAAAATAGCATGTAGAGTTTAGAGACTGTAAAAATAATCATGCACCCTGCTGCCCCATTATCTTCATTCTCCCACTGCCAGGCCATGAGGACTGGAGGGGGCAGAATGTTCTCATTTACTAAAGTGCTGGATGCGGTCCTTGTGGTTCGGCAGAAGCCCAAAGCTGCGGCCTGATGAGTCTGATGTGTCACGTCACCCTCCTGGGTAGCCTGGAGATTCAGCTGCCTTGGATAGCCTGCCCACTGGGTGGGAACCTTAGATTTATCAACCTTTTGACATAGAAGTTGGGCTGAAATATAGGATTATCTAAGAGTATTCTGAGGGCCCCACTGATCACCTGGATTATTTCTTACCTTGCTTTCTGATCTTCTTTGAAAATCACCTCCTCATCTCAGTGCCCCTCCAGATAGGCACCAGCAGAGAAGTAGCGGGAATGGCTAGCCACTGGGCACATTCTCTGGCATTTATGCTAGCCACACCCACATCACTATTACATGCCCATAGTATGCAAGGCTTCTAGACAGGAGTGCTTGAAACAGTCAGACCTCCAGGTGCTGGGGCGGGAATTTCAGGTATTTAATCAAGTGCCTATTTTTCAGACACCCAAGAGGAACCCACCTTATCTTGCCTCTCAGGTCCAAGAACTCCCTCTGTGCCTCCGCAGAATGCAAACCCTCTGTGCTTTCTCTAGCTGTTTAAATCCACCCCCACTTTTTTGCCTTTCTTTCTGCTTCGGTGACTGGCACTTTCCCTTTCATTCACACAGGGACGCAATTGTTTATGATTTAGCTCCGCAGACACCAGTGGGAGGATGCAAGCATCCTGGCAGAGGGGAAGCCAGGCTCTGTGAAAGGATGAGCCAGCCCAAAGGTGGCAAAGGGTTGAAAAGAAATGGGCCTGGCTTTACAAAGCAGTGTCTGGTGAAGGGCTGACCAGCCGTTTCCTGGGGCTGTCTGTATGAAGGAGTGTGGATATTGGCGGAGACTGATTCACAGCCACAAATTCTCTTTTCCTTTGTTTTCTTTGTGTTGGTCATTGAGGGCTTCCGAGGAAATTCCCCTTTTGAGATTGTATATCTGAAGGGAAGATCACAAATCTGCTGCTGCGGGCAGCTGGCAGACTTTCTTCCGTGACCCTGCCTTTTGTAGTCTGCGTAAGCGGATGTGCAAATCAAAAGCAAAGTTAATGCACAAAAAATTAAGGGAGAAAACACTGAGTTTCTTGTAAACTCTCTTCCAAATCTGGTGTGCACATATACATACATGGCTTGCCTGGTTCCCAAAAGGATTGAAGGAAGCAATATCACTTGATTATGTGGTTTGACTTTACAGGCCAGTAGCACCAACCATACTGATAATATTTTCAGCGGTGATGGTGGATGGACATCCCTAAGTTCCGTCTACACCTAGTGAAGGGATGTCTGATCCCAAGTCAGATTGTGTGCACGCTCACTTTGCTGACACGCATTCTGTGGACCCTGAATAAACTATGAAGGAGCATGGAGCTTCTAGCCCCGCTGTGCTGGCTTCCAGGAGTCAGGAGATCGTGTGGAATAGAAGGCACACCCCTTCTACCTCATCAAACGGGTGTTGCTTGACTAATGTGATACTCCTTGATCTAGGCTACTGGAAAAATAATCTGTAGTCATTTGTGCCACAGACATACCCTGTTTAGGTAAATCTCACACCTACAGATGACTCATAAATTGTAGGTGAATGAATATTTTTCCTTAAGAAAAGATTTGGTAATCAACAAATGTTCAAGTACTGACAAGGTGTCCCATCTCAAGATTTAACTGGATCTAGCCCAACTCAACCACACAGAAAGGTGGGGACCTACCTGGGTGGGCAGGTCACAGAATGGGCCTGGGCTGATAGGATGTCCAACTCAGCTGGGAGGTGAAGGAGTCCAAGGTATAGGTGCAGGACGAGCATCTGGGCCAGCGGCCTGCAGGGAGAGAAGGGCAAGGGAGGGAACAGTAGTTATTTTGACTCTTAAAATTCACTATTTAAGGGAGGCAGCATAACCTAGTGGCTAAGTGCATAGATCCTGCAACCAGGCAGAATCTGATGTTCAAATTCAGACCCTGCCACTTATTAGTATGGTAACCTTGTGCCTCAGTTTCTCATCTGTAAGATAGGGTAATAAAGTACCAACCTTGTTGTTGAAAGAATCAAATGAGTAATGCTCTTAGCACAGCGCCTGGTTTATAGTGAGTATGATGTGAGTATTTGCTGCTATTATTATTATTATTGAAAGGTGAGCTCTGAAAAGGCTGCCCATAAGTCCATTTGTTCCAAAGTCCAAAGTGATACTCTACGAGCGACCGCTAGGGCCGCCTTCTGGACAGCGTGGAGGGGCTGTCGCTTTGGTGTTGAGTTTTGCTTGTCTCTCTGAGCACTCAGAAATAGAAGAGCTTCTGTGCCAGTTACCAGTGTTTCTTGAGGCCTGACTGTGTGCCAGGCATGGTGCTTGGCTTTATGTGCATGACCTCACTGAAATCTCATAACAGTGCTGTGAAGTAGGGGCTGTCACAGCTGCAGAGATTGAGGCTCAGTGGGCTGGGCCATTTGCCCAAGGTCACACAGATAGCAAGTGGCAGAGCCAAGCTTCACACCCAGGCTGTGCTCCTAACCAGTGTGCTGTCTGTGTTTTGAAGGATCACTGGAGTTGTCCTGAGAGGCAGGTGGAGTTTGGTGACAGGAATTCAGCAACAGGTGGTATTTGAAGACCCAGAAAGTAGGCCAGGATTTGGAAGCTCTGCCAAGAGATGACAGGACTCCAGCTTGACCCATGGTAGAATCTCTACCTTGAGGACCAGTGGCCTTTGGTACTGGGTCTTCAGGAACAAGACATGAATACAGGCACGGGGCCAAGGTGGGCTTCTCCTGAACCAGGCAGAGGAGGGTGCCCCAGAAGAGAGGAAATGGTGTGTAACAACAGAGACAGAAGCACAGTGAGGATGCTGGGCCAGGGCACCTTACACCCCTCAAGTCTAAGGTCAGAGGTCATCTTGAGCTAAGCCTGAGGTCAAGTCTGGGTGATTCCAGTTGTGGAGAAAGGAGGAACGGACAACCCAGAACTTAGTGTCTGGGGGCAGTAAAGTTTATAGTAATGTAAAAGACTTGATTTGCGAATGCGATCCTTCTTGATAGAACATTTAAAACACGACTTAAAGAGATCTGATCTATGCATAATTGCTCAAAATCATCTTTCTGACTTTACCCAAGGAATGCTGCTGGTGATGGGAACAGGTGTGAGCGGCGTGCCCACCTTGCACCAGGGCTGTGTAGATGTGGGGGTTACTGATGGACAAGACTCATCTCTGTCTTTCCAGGACCTGTGGTCTGGTCCAGGGGTTTTCAAACTTTAATGTGCATAAGAATCACAGCGGAACTTGTGAGAAAGTCAGGCTCCTGGGTGCTACCCACAGAAGTCCTGGTTTAGCTGGCTTCCTAAGGGACCCAGGATTCTGTGTTTCCTGGGTGGGGCTAAGGTGATTCCGATGCCTTTGGTCCACAGGCCACAGCTGAAGCAGCCCAGGCCTGATCATTGCTCTGGTTCCCTTCTCTTCATTACTGTTAACAAGAACACAGAGTCACGTGGCCTGAATCAGCAGCAGTTAACTTCTTTGTTACCACCTTCTTCCCGAATTGCCATTTTCCTTGGACTAGACCCCCACTTGTAATAACAACAATGACAGCGCACCTCCTGCCTGTTGAGTTACGATGTGCTGGGCGCAGTGTCAAGCCCTCCATGCTGTTATCTCATTTGGTCTTCACAACCATCCCTTAAGTTAGGTACTAGTATGATCCACATTTTACAAGTGAGATAAAAGGCCCCACTGTTAGTAAGTGGCTAATCTGGAATATGAATTTAGGACTAGAAGTTTCCCAGAGCACAGACACGTAACCTCCAGGCCAGTCTATGAGAGTGGTTTTAGCTCTTTGTCAGTTCAACCCTCCTTTCTCATGCTTGGATGTCTTTCTCTGGTTCACATTCCTATCTTATCCACCCCCGTTCCCAGACTCCCATATAATTTCTTCAGAAGATGATGTGGCCTGGTGTTTCCCTATTTTTACATCATTCAATAAAGTCAAAAAGGGTTGGGGCAATGGGTGGGTGGAAGGCAGGCTTTATGGGTTGAATTGCATCCCCCCTCAAATTCATATGTTGAAATCCTAACCCCCAGAATCTCAGAATGCGACCTTATTTGGAGAAAGTGTCTTTACAGAGATAATCAAGTTTAAATGAGGTCATTAGGGTGGGCCCTAATCCAGTATGACTGGTGTCCTTATAAAAAGGGGAAATTGGGACACAGTGACACATAGAGAGGGAAGAAGACATGAAGAGACACAGGGAGAAGGCAGTCATGACAAGCCAAGGAGAGAGGTCTGGAACAGACCCTTCCTTCAAAGCCCTCATAAGGAATCAACCCTGCTGATCCCTCGATTTTGGACTTCTGGCCTCCAGAACTCTGAGACAGTACGTTTCGGTTGTTTGAGCTACCTGGTCTGCTTTCCTTGTTATGGCAGCCTTGGCAAACTGCTATAGTGGGAACAGATTCCTAGGCCTCCTCCTCCGGGCCCTGACTTTGGGGTGATCTAGTTTCAGGCCAACCCATTATGCCAAGTTGTGGCACTTTTCCTTTTCTTTAACTCTGAGTGCTTCACTGTTGGCATAAACAGGGTTCTCGGCAGTCACAGGTAGGCCCAAGGCTTGGGAGGGAAGAAGGAATGAATAGAAAGGATGAAGAGGGAAGGGGGAAGGGAAAGTAAAGTAAAAGGAGGCAGGAGGAGAAAGAGGAGAGTGAGGAGCGGGAGGGGGCATGCTGGAAGGCCATTAATGACTGGTTCAGGCTCCCTTGGCCTATTTGTGGGGCAGCTCCTGTGTGCCAGGGAGCATGCAAAACACTGCGGCTGCAGTGGATCCTGGAAGTGACAGTCGCTACCTTCATGAAAGTTAGAGGCTAGATGGGGATACCGACATCAAGCACACAGTAACTCTCCTGAGTGTCCCGCGAAAGTGTATGCAGAGGACCTGATCCCGTCAGGGAGTCTGGAAAAGCTTCAGTGATGAAGTGATGCTTGGGTGGAGATCTGGAAGACTGGCAAGCATCAAATGGGTGAGGACTGAGTGTTCCAGGTGGAGGGAAGAGCATGGGTGACGGTCACATGGTGTGAGGAAGCGTGGCATCGCTAAGGAGTGGAGGGAAGGCAGTGTGGCTGGAACGCAGGGAAGAAGGGGGGGCAAGTGGGAGCCCAAGGGGCAGGGTGGCACTGGACCACAGCAGCTGTTGAGAATTTAGGTCCGTAAGCTGAGAGCCATAGAAAGCCAGAGAAGGATGTGAACCTATATAAGGCAAACTCTCATTTCAACAAATGGCGTGTTAGGATAGAGATGCTGACGGTGTGGTTCAGCAGCAAGACATCAGGCTTCTTGAGCTCCCAAACCTGCGGTTGGCTGCGTCACCTTCAGGGAGTAAAGTTCCAGGTCACTTCCCAGTGTTCTAGCCACGGTGCCCCCTCAAGAGAGCATGTTCAAGGTGTTTGTCATGGCGCCATTGGGAAGGGTCAGATAGGGACAGTTGTCTCCTGTGAGCGAGGTTAGTTAGCCAGCTTGGCAGCCAGGCCAGGCTGAGACTGGCGTTGACCAGGCAGCCCCTTGTTTGGCATCATTTGAAGGACGCAGAGAGGCTGTGGAACTATAACCTCTCCTTTGCCTCGGGTACTTTGCCTGAAGCTGGAGGAGCGGGTGCGCATTCAGGAGACTAATTACTCAGTGGGGCTGTGGAGGATGGCAGAGATTCAAGTTGTGAAGGGGAAAGAGGTGAAGGCAGGAAGCCCAGGAGGACTCCCTGAGGGTACCAGGGGGTAAGGTGGGCAGAGACAGGTCTGAAAGGGGACAGAGAGCTGAAAGGAGGCGTGCAAAGGGCTTGCAGCCAGATTTTGCCTTGTTCATGGTTACATGAAAGAAGCAGCAAGACGGACCTGTGGCTGGGGGATTTCCATCTTGGTGTTTGCAGCCCTCCATGGTGCCTCTGTCACCAGAC